GGGGGGGGGGGTGCAGTGAGGCCAGGCTCAAGGCTTCCAGCAGGCTCCCGCCCGCCCCGCCACCCGAGGGTACCTCCAGCCCCCGGTACACGACGCTGTTGGTGCTGGGCGGCACACTGAGGGGCTGCTGACCCTCCAGCTCCACGGCAAACTTGGCATTGAACCGGAAGAAGTCGATGAGCTCAGCCGCCGCGTCGATCTCCGCCTGAATCACCGTCTTACCCTGCGTGCAGGACGGCGGGGGGTCAGCGGCCGCAGACGTGCCTCCCAACGGCCCTTTCCAAGACCGACCGTGTACCCACGGTGACGTCATGCCCACAGTGCTGGCGGCTCCTTCCCCCCGGGGTAAGGATGTGCCCCCGTCAGGGGCATCTGGACCAAGAAGCGGGAGGCAAACGTCTCCTTATGCTGCCCGTTCCTCCTGATGGCAAATGTCCCAGGGGTGGGGGAGGGCCTCATGGGCTGCAACATGGGGCTCTTTCAGATCAGGGCAGCCCCTCCCTGGCACACACGGTCACTGGCAGCTGTCATCCTGCTTGGGACCTGGAGCTACAGAAGCCAAGGTGCGCTGGCCCTGGCTCTATGAGGCGACCACACTTCCTACAAGCGCCAGAGCCGTTAGTCAAATAAAGCACCTTCATCTGGTGGCGGACTGTGTGCGCCTCTTCCTGCCCAAGCGTGGCTCATCCGGGACGCTGGGGAGCCCACGATGCCACCCCCCGCCCCCAGGTGCTGCTGAGAATCTGGAGACACTTAGCTGGTGAGGAGTGGTCATACCACCTCTGTGCAGCAGAGGGCGCTCTCACCACAGGACAGTGAGCGGGCAAGGGGGCAGTGGGGTGGCCGCCCCAAATGCCCAAGGCTCGCTGCTGGGCATTAACCCTTCTCCCTCGGCTCCCTTCCCAACTTTGAGCTGCTGATGCCACTCTGGCTCAACGTGCACTCAACCGAAAAACGCCTATCAGGAGCTTCTGTGACTCCAGAGAGATGCTGTGTGTAGCCCAGGAAGACGGAGAACAGTTAACCGGGATCGCTGTCTCCAAAAGGCTTGTAAAGGGGTGACAAACACACAGGAACTCATTACACCCAGTGCGATCTGAGCCGTACTGATGCACACACAGCGTGCTACAGGACCACAGAGGTGGGGCTCATCTTTCTGGACAGAGAAGAGTCTCAAAGCCCCACAGAGGAGGTGGCATCTGGGCTGGATCTCAACAGGAAGAGTCCACAGGGCACAGATGGGTGGGCATTCCAGGCAGGACACCGGGCAGAGGCAGGGAGACGGGATGCCTGCAGGGCCCAGGGATCTCGCTAAGTCCAGGCTGGCGGCCTCCTGGGCAGGATGGCCTGGCGGGGAAGGGCAGAGTGGCCAGGGAGCTGGACAGAGGCCGGAAACAAGGGGACCTGAGTGCCGTGTGCAGGACTTGGGACGTGACTGTTGGTGACGGAGAGACCCTCGTGGTGTGGAAGGCTGGAGGGACCGCCTGGAGGAGTCAGAGAGACCACTCCGAGGGCCACGGAGGTCTGACCCAGGCTGGAGGGCTGGACGGGACCTCAAGGACATCTTCTGGCTCCAGCAGGCACAGCACGTCCTGGTACCCAGAAGCTGCTTGACTGACGTGTGCTGCATCGGAGGGAGTATGACCGCCTCCCACACCCCACCCCGGCTGTGCCCACGGGCACCTCACCTGTCCCACCATGGTCTTGGCCAGGACCTCAGCCCTGCGAGGCCCGCTCAGCATATCTGCGGCCTTCAGGAAGATCTGGGCCCGGTCTGCAACAGGCTTCAGGTCCCACTCTTTCCTGGCAGCCAAAGCGGCCTCGATGGCTCTGTTGAGTAGGGCCTAACAAAAGGGAAAAGGTTGGGAGCTGCCTCCTAGAACAGGAAGGGCCCCAGGGGAATGGGCGAGACAGGAGATTGGAGATCATTCATTCTCCAAGGACCTGTGGCTTCCTTGGCCTTCAGTGCTGCCCACCACAACTCCCCCCCCCCCCCCCCCCCCCCCCCCGCCCCCAACAGCTCCAGACGTGCTGTCCCATCACTTGCTGGCCCAGCCAAGGCTCAGAGCCAGTCCTGCCACCATCTGGAGGTCTGAGGGACCTCCCAGGTAGGTCAGCACCAAGTCCGTCCATGGTCAAACCTGTTCCACTTTCTCTTGTGGTCTCATCAGGGCCTCCCCTTATTCCAGGGGCCCCCAAACCCACCAGCTAGAGCCTCCAGCCCTCAAGGTCAGGCGCCTGGCCTTGCCCTTGCTCGGCCAGAACCCCAGCCTGAGATATTCACTTGCTACCGGCATCCCTGATGGCAACTGTCCCTGTTGCCGCCTGAACGCTGGCTCCTAGACCCCCTGCCACAGGGCACCCTAGCCCCTCTCGCCGGCCCTCCATGATGCCGAGCCTCTGTCTGGCTTTCCATCCAGGGCGTCTCCAATTTCTCCGACTCAGCCTTGGAGACTCTACTCTCCCTCGAAAGCCAGGCTGCCTCACAGCCACAGGCATGTGAGGGGACATCAGCCTTGGCCCACACAGCTATCCTCTGACTCAAGTTAACCACAGCGGGCCTGGCCTTGTGAAAGACTCCACTCCCCACGGCCAGAGAGGGAAGCAGCGACAGACAGCATGTCAGCAGCCAGCAGGGCAACACGGGGACAGTCCCCAACCCAGACTCACCTTGTCTGCATAGCAGAACTTGGCCACCTTGTGTCCATGGTTGAAGGGCTGAAAGATGAGAGAAGAGTGAGGTCCCTGCCCAGGAGGGAGGTGCCAGGACGGGTGGGGACGTGGCCGGGCTCAGAGCTCGCTTTCTAGGCAACAGCCCTCAGCACACTCGCTCTCTCCCCTCCAATCCCCTCCAATCCCCACACTGATCTCTCTCACTTGGGGGGTCACGGAGCACCTGCTGTTCGGTGAGGGAGATGGTTCCCACTCCAGAAGGTTCACGGTCCCGAGAAAGGCAGGGACCGCACAGCCTCAGGGAAAGCGTGGACTTCGTGGAAGTCAGACAGACACGGGATCGCATCCCAGCTCTGCCATCCGCTAGCTGGGAGCCATATGTAAACTGAGTTCCCCTTTCCAGGTCTCCCCACGTGGGATAGGGAGACCCCCCCCCCCCCCCCCGCCGCATGGCATGGGGAGGGGGGGCCAAATGAGCTCACAGGCGAAAATGCTTCCGGAGCAGGCATGGCACGCGGCTGCGGCTCAGGAAGGGGCGATGCCACCATGGGAGGCCCCCGAACGAGACACGGGAGTTGAGAATCGCTCAGGATTTCTGCCATGCCCCAAGTGCCCAGGGGACAGAGCAACCGCTTCTCCAGCCCCTTGCACGGGACCCAGAGACACTCATCTCGAAGGGAAGACCCTCAACAAATATTTACACACGGAACCCGGCAGGGCCGCGTGCGAGCATAAGCAATACAAGCAGGGAGACATTTCACTTCTTTACGCCACAATTATCAACACTTTTGCCACCCACCCGTCGCCCGATGGGCCCTTTGGGGCTTTCCTGTCTCATGTGGCAGCCTCCAGCCGTATGTGCATGCTGACGTTTCAACTCAGCCACTCTCGGCTGGCGCCTGGCACAGCCCTGAAGGGCCGGGCAAACTGACCGATCCCAAGTTGTGCTCCCAGGGCACATCCTCGGAACCCTCAAAGCGGGGGCCTAGGGTCTCCACCCTCACCCCTGCACAGCCTGCTCAGGATTCCATCGGGACAGAGCCATAACATGCCTCCCTCCCCCACCTGCGAAAGGGTACAGCCCTTTACTCTCCCCCAAATTACAGATCTAGGAGTTTCCTGCTCCGTCCAAAGTATACGCCAGTTCCTGGCTCTATAAACCGCAAGCAGGTGTCATCACGGGGCTTAGCCCACAGTTAGCCCCTAAGCCTCGCTCTGGAGAAATCCACCAGGGATAACGGAAGATGCTGTGTGGACGCCTCGGGATCTTTCTTGCCTGTGGCCAGGACTCAGTCACGGGCTGGGCACAGGGTGGCTGTCCGGGCACATGTGACATGACACAAAGCCCACACTACAGCTGCGTGAGGACCAGGGCTGGTCAGGGGAAAGCCTCTGCACATCAGGTGAAGGATTCCCAGGCCTGCCCCTGGGGCCCTTCTTTTTTTTCTCTCTTTTTTGACAAACTAGCTACAGGTTCCGCTTAAGGGACAGGGAGAGGCGCCGTCACAGCTGACGCAGCCTCCTGCACGCAGGCACTATGCACCTGACAACGACCCTACACGGCACGATGGCTACCCCCATTTTATACACAAGAAGACTGAGGCGCGGGGAGGTCAAGACCCGACTGGCCCAGCTGGGGTCAGGTGCCCCCTTCAGCAGCCTCAAGGAGTGGGGCCACACGGTTTCAAAGGCGGCCACCAGCCAGCACCATGGGGGCAGGCGAGGAGCTCCCGGGTCCGGGCACAGACCCTCCACGGAGGCAGGCACCACACTGGTCCGCCTGGGGCTGGCGTCCCCGGGGCTTGGTTCCCGGCTCTTTGACAGCTTCCTCCATCCTGGCTCCACCCCGGCTGTCTACTCGCCTTCCCACCACAAACTCCCTGGCCGCCCGCGAGCCCTGGACACGCGTGGGCCTACGTCCAGCCTCACACCTTCTGCCAAGCCCTCGCTTTTTCACTCTGCTGCCCCGAAACTAGAAAGCATACTCTTGTGACAAGCGACAGGGCTCTTCTGGAAAGTCTCGCCCTCCTTAACCCCCCTCCAGGGACTCCCCAGCACTCCCGGAATAGGTTCCTTCACCACAGCCGACAAGAACCTCAAAGTCACCGCCAACGACCTCACCCTCTCTCGGTGGGGCCCCGCGTCCCCCGCCCCCCTGGCTTCCTCTCTGTGGCGCACTGGGCCTGTCCCCACCTGCGGGACTCTGACCGAGGACCCCTCTGCCCGGCAGTGAACCCAACCTCATCCTTGGGGTTCGACTCGGCGGCCACCAGTCCAAAGAGGCCTCCGACCGCCCAGCCCCACGTGGCCCCCGCGTCGCCGGCGTGGCACCTGTGCCTCCCACGGTCCCTCACCAGCTGGAACTCGCGTCTCTTTCCTCGTTGACCCGTGTGCCACCCTGCTGTCCCCCGGGGCGGCTCCGAGAGGGCGGAGCCGTCTGCCCAGGGCCTGGGCCCGAGGAGGCGTGGGTGGCTGGCGGGATTTTATTACCACGACTTACAAGTGCTCTGCTAGAAAGAAGGGCTGAGGCAGATTTCTGGCTAATTCGGCCACAGAGAAAGCTGCCTCGTCTGCATTCCAAGGCCCTCATGTTGCAACTGGTTGCACTGCACGAAGCTAGAAGCCCCACGTATGCCTGTTTGCGCAGAGTTTCAAAACACGTATCTGTGTATACACACACATGCACACACACACTCTTTTTTTTTTTTTCCCATAGCT